GCGTTATCCTGGTGCCTTTATCCCAGAATTTGCATTTCCCAGTGCCTTTATCCCAGAATCTGGATTTGCATTTCCCGAGTTAAATGCCTTTAGTTCAGGATTTGCATTTCCTGGTGCCTTTATCCTGTCGTTTGCATTTCCTCATGCCTTTATCCCAGAATTTGCATTCTCCAGTGCCTTTATCCCAGTGCCTTTATCCCAGAATTTGCATTTCCCAGTGCCTTTATCCCAGAGTTTGCATTTCCTGGTGCCTTTATCCCAGAATTTGCATTTCCCAGTGCCTTTATCCCAAGTTTGCATTTCCTGTTGTCTTTATCCCAGAATTTGCATTTCCTGGTCCCTTTATCCCAGGATTTGCATTTCTTCGTGCCTTTATCCCTGAGTTTGCATTTCCTGGTGCTTTTATCCCGGGATTTGCATTTCCTGTTGTCTTTATCCCAGAATTTGCATTTCCTGCTCCCTTCATCCCAGGGTTTGCATTCCCGTGCCCGGCGCATGCCGGCCCGGTGCTGAATTGATTCCTTCTCCCCCCCCCACCCCCGGTAAGCTCTGCAACATTTTGATAAACTCCGGGGAAATAAATTTGGCAGAAAATCAGCAGGAGTAGATTTAATTATCGCTCCGAGACCTTTCCCTTTTCTGGCTTAGTGATCCCGAAACTCCGCGCCTTTCCCCGGGATCCGCGCCCAGCTCCGCTTCCCAATTTGTCCCTCCACGCCGTGATAAGCCAAGCAATTACTGCTTTATTGATTTTTCATCAGGGCAAATTTCAAGTTGATTTTTTTTCCCTGCAAAGGCAGGGGTGATTAAGTGTTTCCCGTCGGTTTAGTCCCGGAGAGCTCCGTGGCAGAATCCAATATCCTGAGGTCAACCTCTGCAGGGAGATAATTCGGTGTCTTGGCCACGTGTGAGGGAGAGGAATCAGGGCTACAAATGTGAGGGGATATCTGTGGAGACAGTTTAATTTGTTCCATTTATATGAACAAGTCGTGTGGCACATGCTTGGAAAATATCATTTTGAATAGGCTTGGAAATGAGGCCCACGTGGGCAGGGGAAGGGAGGGAGGGATGCAAACGAGAGTGGGAATGTGGCTGGGAGACAGCTGGCCCTTCAGCAGGGAATAAACCCCATCCCCGAGGGTCAGTCCTGGGTTTTACTGAGCTCTCTGTGCTGCTGGCCTGACTTCCCTTCAGCAAAAGTGAAATTCTTCAAGTCTTCAGGTCCCTCCAGCCCAAACCACTCCGTGGTTCTGTGATTCTGTGATTTTGAGTGATGGGGGATCACGGAAGCAAAGTTAGAAGGGACAAAAAGCCTGGAGGACTCCACTTTTAGAAAATCCCTAAATTATAAACTCTATAAACCCAAATTAAAAGTTTGAATTTTTTTTAAAATACTCATCTTTAACCTGCTGGCCAGGAGTTCTGACATGAAGAATCTCATCCATGGCCAGCACAGAATATCCTGAGCTGGAAGAGACCCACAGGGATGGTGTGCCCAACCCCTGGCCGTGCCCAGGACACCCCAACCCACTGATTTCCCTTCCCACTTCCTTTAGAGAGAGTTAAAAGCCTTTCCCTGGGTGTAATGGATATTAAACCACAGGTTGGACGTGCCAGGAGAAGATTTGCTGGGGTGAGGTCAGTCTGTAATAAGTTAAAGTGCTTCACTCAGCCCTGGATTGGGATGCCCTGAAGTTCATCAGTTACTGCCTGAGCTCCTCATTTATCTTCAGTAAATTTTCCTGAAGTTCATTGTGGTGGCAAAGACCAAACTCAATCTGTTTAACCCCCAAATTATGTAATACAGATAATACATTTAGATGAAGACACGGATTGTTTTTCCCTGCCTCCTCCAAGCTGGAATTTCCAATATTCCTCGTTTTTGCCTCAGTAAAGGCAGGTTTGGAGCCCCGCCCTGGGTGTCCCTGGTGTGCCAGTGTCACTTCATTAGGCTGACACCAACACCTGGTGTTGTGCTGCTGCTCCCACGAGGCTGTCCCAGCATCTGGCACACTCTGTGATCTTCTTTTATCTCTGTTTAATCTTCAGATTGCTGGGTTGGAACTGAAAGGGGGCGGGAACAAATCAAGGGGAAAACAAAAAATGCCAAGTTTTGGTGCAGTGGCAGAGTGTGGCTGGTTAGGAAGAGCAGCCACGAGAGGAAATGAGAGAAGGGAAGGGGAAGGGGAGTTTGGGGTCTTGGCCACTGTGTGTGTCCAGAGCTGAGGAAGGGGCATTGGAAAGGGGATCGATGGCCCCCCAGGGATAATGGCTGCTGGAGGAATCAATTCCTGGCTTTTTATTAAAGCTGCTGTAATTAATAATCACTTCTAAATGAGTTCCTTAAATTTTGCCCTGCTTTGTGCCTGCCCATCCTCTCCTGGCCCTTTGTATTCCAGAGTTCCCTCTTTGGCTTCCCCTGGAGAAGATCCCAGTGTGATCCCAATGTCCTGGAGCTGCTGCAGGGCTGGAGCACCTGGGACAGTGGGAGGTGTCCCTGCCATGGGAATGGGATGGGAATTAAATGGTCTTTGAGTTCCTTCCCACCCAAAGTATTCCATGAATCTTT